TCAGCAGGGTGGGAGGATAGGGATAGAATCCACTGCAAATAAATTCTAGTTGTCATAGCCTAACAGAGCTGTTCTGAGAAACAGGGTAAAGATCTTATTCGATCTCAAGATTATATCAGCAGAGGTACTTTAACAGGATCATGTAATAAAGTAGACACTGAACTGCAGGCTGTGGAAGGTCAGTAGTAGTTCAGCAGTTCGAGACCCGGGTGTTGCAAGACAGAGTGAGCTCCCGTCTCTAGTTCCAGCTCCTGCCAACCTAGCAGTTCGAAAGCAAGAAATTGCAAGTAGATAAATAGGTACCACTTTGGTGGGAAGGTAACAGCGTTCCGTGCACCTTGGTGTTTAGTCATGCCAGCCACATGACCACGGAAACGTCTTCGGACAGCGCTGGCTCTTCGGCTTTGAAACAGAGATGAGCACCGCAACCTTAGAGTCAGATTCAACTGGCTTTCGAGCAAGGGTAACCTTTACCTTTACCTTTAATGTTCCTTTACAAACTTTAAGTGCCTTTCATTCGAAAAACCTCATAAAAATCAAATATATAAACCTCTCTGAAACCTCTTCAGATTTCTTCTAAACACCTTTGAAGCAACAAAGAAGTTAATTCTAGTCTAAGAAAAGCAAATTAGCTGAGTAATTTCTATACATTAAGATAAAACCTATTCTACCAGTGCTCTACGTTGTCTGTAAACTGAGAACTTTTCAGCAGTTAACCACAGATCACAAAATACCTTAGGAGAACTTCAAAGGAATAGGACTAGATAGAGCAAAATATTGTCTTTTTCCCATTCACTATTAATTATTTTGGTTCTAACATTGCATAATGAAAAGCTAACAGAATGTAATCCATTAAAGATTACTCTGAAGATAGCAGTCATGTAATTATTTTTGCAGCTGTAAAAGAGATACATAGTTTGGGATTGCCTCAGGCCCTGTCAATTGAACATAAAGTTATATATTTAAAGACTGCTCCTCTTGCTGAAAAAGCAATTCTCCCTGTGTCCTTTATAAATTGAATCTCAAATGTAAAATGAACACATATTTCCTTTTCAACACACAGTAGTAGTACTCTTGATAATCCAGTGAAATGTCTGACTTTAGTTTTCTACAGTCCAAATTTCAGCATGTGAACTTTTTTTGTGTGTGGTAAACTCTCCTTTTTTGGTTCTGCCTATGGGAAAGTTGCTCTTTGGGAAATAATTCATCACTGGGCATTGTGTGAAAGAAAGTGATGGTGTTGTGGAAATTGAGGATTATTTGAGAGTCCTTTTATACAGGTGATTTTAGCAAGCCAAACCCCAGCTGTTACCTTCCATGCCAGTGTGTCCATTCACAAGATCATATCTGTGTAGTTTGTAGTAACTAACAGCACTAAATTTACAATCACCAATGTACCCTGGAATCTCCATCATACCCACAGGAATCTTTTGCAAATTTAATCAGACCTATCCTCTTTGTCACCCTCTTGCTGATTACAGGGTATTTTTTTAATAAATAATCTATATTATTTGATATTAAGCACATTACCCTGATGTATTATGTAATTAAGCTTTTGTTTCAAGAAACATTCTCTTGATATCAGTTAAAATTTGGCATGAAGACCTTCCTTAATACAACATTTCGAATATTCCCTCTTATTTTGAAAATAAACAGAACTCAGTGAAGATAAGTTTTCTCAGATAAAAGGGATATAACTCATAATAAACTCACCAAAAATCCAGGGTAAATTAAAGTATTTTCTAATGTTATTTTTGGTGTTACACAAAAGCACCTGGCCAGGTCACCAGTGGTAAATAATTTCTTGCTTCTGGTAACTGCATTTTAAGCAAAGGAATTTGCTGCACTGTGCCTTTAACAGTCTCTTCGCTCTAGACCTGCATTTCATTTTCATCCAGATACCAGCTGTCTTTGAGATCTCCTACCCCTTCCCTTTCCATTCTGATATTTTTCTCATCCGGGGGAAAAAAAGAGAGTGAAAAAGACAGTACCACTAAAATCAGCACTGACTTCCCCCTGCTTTGGTATTATTTAGTAGCTGAAAAGAGAATTATTTTTAAAAACTAGAAAAAAATTCTACTGATCTCTAGTTTGGTGTGCTGCTTAAGTGAGTGATTAAGTGGCGGTTAAGTGCGCGGACTCTAATCTGGGAGAACCTGGTTTGATTCCCCACTCCTCCAATTGCACCTGGCTGGATGACCTTGGGCAAGCCATAGTTCTGATAAGAGCTCTTGAAAAAAGAGCAGTTTCTGTGAAGAGATCTCTCAGCCCCACCTACCTCACAGGGGGCCTGTTTTTGGGAAGGGGAAGGGAAAGGAGTTTGTAAGCCGCTCTGAGACACCTTTGGGTAGTGAAGCGTGGGGTATAAATCCAATCTCTTCTTCTTTTCTCTTATTAAAATCTTTTAACTACCCAGTATCCAGGGGAATTCAGTGATACTCTTCCTCACCATATGCATATTTACTCAGAAATACTTTCCACTGGGTTTATTTAATGAGGCTTATTCCCAAGTATCTGCATATGAGATTACACCTT